CCTGAACGGCCGTGTCGGTGCCGGGGTGGGCGCTGGGGCGGCTATGGACGACGCTGGTGCTGCTGGAGACGGCCGGGGAGGTTGTCGGCCCCCACGTGGCGCGGATGGTCGCGTCAGAGCCTGGGCGCGCTGCTCGAACGCCCGGGCATAGTACATGGCCGTCTGAAGGTCTTGGGGCCCCTTCATCTCGACGTCCAGGCGGATGTGGTCGGGAAGGCCGCCGATGAAAAGCTCCGCCCGCTGTAAGGCCGTCACACCGGGCGCGTGGCACGCCAGTGCCTGGAAGCGGTCGGCGAAATCCTGCACCATGGAGGTGAAAGGTAGGCGGCCCAACTCGGCCAAGCGGCTCCCGCGTACCGGTGGCCCGAACCGAAGAAGGCACAGCTCGCGGAAATGATCCCACGGGGGCATGTCGCCCTCGTCCTGCTCGAGGGCGTAGTACCATGTCCGAGCGGCCCCGCGGAGATGGTAGGAAGTCAGCCAAGTGCGCTCCGACGCGGGCGTGCGCTGTCCGCGGAAGAACTGGTCACATTGGTTGAGCCAGTTAAGCGGATCGTCCGAGCCGTCTTACGTGGCGAAGTCGATCTTGGCGAACCGGGGCGGCTGCTGGTGTGGCGCGCCCTGGCCCACTGCCTCGGCGGTGCGGAGGGCTGATGATGGTGCTCGGTCCATGGTGGAAGGGCCGGCGTAGTTCCCTGTGGCGCCTGACGCCTCGGGCTGCAACGGGAACCCTGACGGCGGACGGGCCTCCGGGTAAGCCGACGGCGGCCCGTGTAGCCAGCTGGGGAGTGGCGACGGTGACGAAGGGAAGCGGACCTCCTGGATCGGAAGGCCGCTCGGCGAGAACCGGCCCAGGCTAGGGCTGGGCTGGGGCGGTGGTGGCGCCTGCACCGTGGCCGCCGGAAGGGACGGCGCGGCGGGGGACGGCGCGGACGGCGCGGCCCAGGTTGTCCACTGCGGTCCCGTGGTGGCGGCGATCGGCGTGGTTGTCGTCGCGATCGGCGTCGGCCACTGTGGCCAAGGCGGCGTTGCAGCCGCCGGAGGGGGAAGCGCCGGGAAGCCTCCGGTGATGGGCCCCGGTACCGAGTACCATGGCAACGCCTGCTGGCCCGCCGGCACAGCTGGATGGAGCGGTGGAGGCGGCCCGTACGGACTCGCCAAGTAGAGGCGGATGCCCTGGACCGCGGCAACCAGGTCGTTGAGCACGCCGGCCATGGCCTCCGGTGTAAACTGTTGCGGCTGAGGGGGAGGTGACGGCGGCGTGTGTTGGACAGGAGCTGGTGGCAGCCCGTGGCCCGGCACGGTGCCGGGCGCCGGGAAGATCGGCGCCGAGAGCGACGCCGTGGCGCCTGCCGAGAGCGAGGCCGTGACGCCCGGCGCGGAAGCGGCGGCGGTGGTGGAGTTAGCGGCGGCGGCGGTGGTGGAGTTGACGGGCAGCGGCGGTGGTGGCGGTGGTGGCGGAATTGGAGGCAGCAAAGACATGGTCGAAACCCGGGTACCTGATACCAAATTGGTAGGACTAGGGTTCCTACCGACTCGGCTCCTTAGGTTGTAGGGGTAGGACGGCAAGGGTTGAGGCCGAGGGCGGCGGCTCCGGCGTGTTGGCGCCGTCGCGAGGGAGGAGAAGGGCGGCGGCGGCTAGGGTTCGGCGCGGCTAGGGTTCCGGCTCCTCTGGAGCCGGGCAATATGATAGAACTATCTTTATTGCTTAATCTCAAAAGGTATCTTACAATCTAATATTTATAACCTCAAAACGACTAGCCTAAGATAACTTGTGGGTCAAGCCCCTAATCTACTGCCCAGCGGGCCTCCTCCGGTTGTATTGTAAACCGGTCATAACAGTGGCCCCGATGGATGGGCCCGTACTCTCATAAGCATAGTTAAACTTTAGCCATAGATCACTAGTGTTTTTTGAAATCAAAAGTCAATTTCGTGGTAGTTTTTTGGAACGATAGCCCGAATTGTGGTAGTTTTATGCCATTTACTCTGCTGTCTATAGTCCTCCCAGAATAGATGATTAGAAAAGCAGAGAGAGAAAGAGAGAGAACGAAACATTCACTTATGCTATCTCTGTATAACTCTCATTCAAATTCAAATGGTACTGACTGACTGACAGTGCAGAAGTTTGATCCATGAATCACCTATACTCTTTGTTTCTCATAGTACAAAAAAATCCAAAAAGAACTATATCAAGAAGAGGGTCAGGTCAGCTTGCTCTTGGATGATTAAGCCTTAATCAACCATTCAGTCACACTGGGGATGCAAATTGCAATGCCAGGATGCTGCAGAGCAGCAGCAGCAGCAGCAGCATCACAAGCATTAGTGGAGAGGAGGTGCTCCTGCCGGAGCCGCTGCAGACGAGCCGGCTGTCGCGGTACGAGCACACCGATTGCTTCCTGGAACAACAGAATGCACAAGATCAAACGGTTAGCAGGAGCAAAGATTCATTCAAGTGTCTGTCATTCAGAGATAAGTGCCATGTAAACTGGCACAAACTTATCAAATCAGAATGGCATTATATATCAACAAATTGCTTGTGTGTGTGAGATGATTGCTATAGTGTCATTCAATCTGTGGACAGCTTGCAGATTATGTGAAGAATCGGATGCTTTGACCACACATAAGGTCTTGAGAGACATTTCAGAGAGAGATGATAATTAAGGGCGTGAGAGCAGTACGTACATGTTGCTGGAGCAGAAGGTGATGGTGTAGTCGGGCGACTGGGCGCAGGTGAAGATGGAGGAGGGGTCGTCGTAGGCGTAGCTGTAGGCGGCGGGGCACGCCGCCTTGAACTTCTTCGAGTAGAAGGTCGGCTGGCAGGCCACCGGGTTGGCGTACTGCCCGCGGCAACAGTACTGGTCGGTCCCGAACACGTCGCACGCGCTCCGGCACGCCACCACCTTCCCCCCGTCGCCCTTCACGGCCAGCTCCGAAGGGCAGCCCTGGCGCAGATCGCCGTCGCACCCCGCCGGCGCGCAGCCCGTCCAGTTGGCGCTCGTCGGGGTCGGGGTCACCACCACGGGGAGGTTGAAGCCGTCCACCAGGCTCACATCATAGTAGTCGGTCGCCGCCAGCGTGAACTCCGCCAGCGTCGCTGGAGCGGCCCCCGACGCCGATTCGCACTGCAGCGACGTCCCGCACCCGCCCGTCTCGCACGTGCCGTTGCCAGCCGAGTCGAAGTCGCAGCCGGTGCGGCCCCACACGCGGCCCGACCACCCCACGGGGGCGGTGAAGACAACCGACTCGCCAGAGCGGAGCGCGTAGCCGCCGCCCCCGAAGCTCTCGCCCGGCGTCACCGCCGGCCACACCTCCGTCTTGCACTGGTTGATGAGCGTGAACTCCCGGGCCGACTCCGCGCGCCTCGTTGCCCCTGTCATCACAACAATGAAAAAGAACGTTTTTTGGTTCAGTCAACACTACTCCAGCGTCTACTAGCAATCTGATAAATGAACTGGTCTTCAGACAAGCAATCTATGGCATTGGCAATGTGTGTCAGGTCAGGGCTTGCAAGTTTCCACTTATGTTGAGTATGTCCTGACAACATTTGAAACAAGGTCTGCACTACATTTGAAACAGAGTGCAAGGCAATCTGAATAGATGGACACCAACTGGCCGGTGATGATTCCAAAGCATGCCATTCTATTCTAGCAGTCAGAAAACCTGACACAATCTCATCCCAGCAAGAGTACGTAGAAAGCAAGAGGAGAAGATGAAGAAATTTGATTGTGAAGAGTGGTACCTGAGAAGAAGAAGATGAGAAACAGAGGCAGAAGCAGGGCCCTCCACCTCCTCGGCCCTGGGGACCTACCCATTGCAGATTCACTAGTTGCAGCAACAACAGTTAATAATCTCTGCTGCCGTGTATGGGTGTATATATATAGGTAGGTAAAATATACTGCTGATAGCAACACAGCAGATGAGATATTTTTTTAGAGTAAGTAAACACAAAGAGAGAATACGTGAGAGGGAGGTTCAGGTGAGGCATGCGAGGAATGGACAAACCTTGCTTGCCATGGCCTCCTTCCTTGCTTCCTCCTCAGATTCTCCAGCCAGCCAGGCAGAACCGCCTTTTCCTGTGTTCCAAGACTTGGGAACATGGCACTTGTGTCCATTCCTGGGAACACAATGCAGAGACATGATTCCCTCCTGCTTCAAGCAACAACACACCTTCAGGAATCAGGACCAACATAAAACATCTCAAGCTAGCTACACAACTGCCAGACAGGACTGAACCGCGGGCACCGACATATCCGATAAGCAAGTTCCAAGCAATGCAGGAGGCAATATCAGACATCGTTGGATCATCTTGCTGACATGCTAAGCTTGGAGGTCATACAAAAATTATTATTACACCAAGCGTACCGTCAACAGACCGGACCGTAATGTATCAACAGTTGTTACACTAAGGAGATGCTGCTTTGCAGAACAATGCTTTATTACCATCATCACACCACAAGATGAGAACTAGCCAATGGATTAACACTATCACACCATCACATATGTGAGTGGGGATGCCCTGGGCAGAACAAGAATCTGCTTGCACTGGTGACTGCAGTCAGTCTCCGAGAGAGGAGCTTGAGCGTCGGGAACCCATCAGTTGTCTCCCAGCTTGACCTTGTAATGCTGAGCGAGTTTAGTGATTTCCCCGTTGTTCACGAGGTTCTCGAGCATGTCGTACTTATTGCTGTTTGCTACCAGGGTTTCCTGCTGCTGCGACGCCAGCTCCTTCTCCTCTTCCAATTGATTCTGAAACAAAAAAGAAGAACAAAGTTTAATGAAATTATGGCTCGGATGCAAAAGATACAAAGGTTTAAAGCAACTGTATCACATTTTAAAGAACAGCGTCATCATCAAAATTCTCAAAATATGCTTGACATCTCCTGTTCCCTGAGCAAGTGTTTTTCTCATTTTAGACAAGTAAAGCAGAAAGATTTGCAGCTTTTCTCAGTAGTGGGCAACTGGGCATACAAGTACGGAAATGATAAGAACAGTATAAAAAACTAAAGAAATAACCACTTCACCTTGATGAGTGCCATATTTTCTGCTTCTTGCCTCCTCATAAGGCCCTTGAGCTTATTCATCCCGTCATACCCCGGATCTCCTTGCTTTACCCAGCTGAACTCAATCTTCAAGCCAGGCTTCCTAGGGCGGTCCGGAAACATCTCGGGCTTTGCAAAGACAGCCCTCACGGGCCTGGGCATCCCGCCGATCATGAAAGGGAAGTTGTTCATCAGGTCCACAGCAGCCTGGGCCTGCGACACGTTGTCCACCTCCACCAACGCAGCGGCGGGGATCTCGTACTCGATCGTGTAGTTCTCGATGAACTCCGTGCTGACGACGTTGGCGCACTGGGCGAGAGACGCCTTGATGACCTGGCTGGTGACCAGAGGGGAGAGTTGGTCGATGTATATCGTCCTCTTGACCCTCGCCTCGAAATCAGCGTACTCCTTCTCAGCCTGTTTTTCGTCCTTGTCAGCCTGTTGTTCGTCCTTCATATCATGTTCGTCCTTCTGAGCCAGTTCATCGGTAGTCGCCATAGGAGCGAAGCGCGAGCTCTGCCAGAAATAACAATACGCAGCAGCAGTCACTGGAAATGGCTAAGATCTCCTCGGAATAATTAAGAATGAGCACTGCAAAAGGTTATAAACAGAGCTGGCAAACAACAAAGATTTATAAACAGAGCTGGCAAACAACAAAAACAACATCTTCTAAAGGGTTATCATCTGAATAAGAACAAGCATTCTGCAGCAAAAGCGTCTACAGGTTTTACACTTGTAAAAGTATCAAACATCAAAGATAACTACTCCCTCCATTCCTAAATATAAGTCCTTTTAGAGTGTAGATTCACTTATTTTGCTATCTACACTCTAAAAGGACTTAAATTTAGGAACCGAGGGAGCATTAACTAACAGCAGGGGAGGGTTGTTCATCTAACTCCTGGATGTAAGGGTAGGGATATGGCTCCAAAAAATTTCATGGCTTCATCAAGAAACAGGGGCCGGCATGCGGGTTCAGTTTAGGATTTCCTCGAACAAGCCTTTTTTGATGAAAGGGCAGCTGCCAAAATTTCCACTAGTAGAAACCTACAAATTGCCTCAAACAGAACAAGCAACCACCCCAAATGCAACTATCTACTCAAGCATCGGGAGGGGAAGTTATAAAGGAAAAGCGCATGCAAAAGTTCATCAACATGGCTCGGCACATGACTCAGATCAAACAAGCCAAGATAAAATCCTGCGCTATCTACTGTAGCTAACAAGCCGTTCCTCAGAGACACAGCAACTGCAGGGGCGGCGGATCTAGACGGCGTGTGCCCACGAGCCGTGAGGTCCAGCGGGATTTCTATTCAACTTAATCGCGGGATGAAGATGGGGAAACCTCTACCTCGAAACCCAATGGGCGGGCGGGGCGAAGACGGCGGAGCGCGGTGTCCAGACGAGGAAAAACGGGGCCTTCGGCGGCGGCGGCGGCGGCACGCGTGGGAGGCGGGGGCGGCGCGGGGCGTGGGATTGGGGCGGCGGGGAGTGGGGCTGAGGCGTCGGCGGGCGGCCCCGGCGGGACTGAGCCGTCGGTCGGCGGCGACGGGTAAGTCACGGCACGGCGGCGGCGGCGGCGGCGGCGGCCAGACGAGAGACTGCGGCGTTTCTAGCCTGTCCGGAAAAAGGTGTGGACTTTTAGGGCCCGTTTGCGTTTGGGACGACGGGATAGGACAACACAGAAATAGAAATATCCCAAGAATTGCAAGAAATTAAATGTCATGTCTGCCTGCCCGCATGTCAAGTTTTTATTAAAAGAAACGTTAATACACTTACCAAACCAATACCATTAAAATCGTTATTATTGTATATATTTTAAAATTGTACACATTTTTATTTTAACTTTACATTGTTTTTTCCTAAACTTGGTCAAACTTTGTAGATTTTAACTTGGTCAAAGTAATGCACGGAGTGAATAAGAGCGGACATCGCCAAATGTCCACGGAGACGTCCGCCGTGTTCAAACGTGTATGTGGAAATGCCTGATTTGGTTTTTTCTATCTATACCGGGACTGCTCAAAACAGTCAAAGATAAAATAGCATAACTCTTAAGCATTTGAAAGATAAATATTTCAAGGCAACAGTAATTCAAATTTAAATACTAAATTACAAAAAAAAATTGATGCTCCAAAAATATTGTTTTAAGAAGCGTTCTGAAGCATCGATTTTGTTTTATTTGCCCTAGACATCCATGAATGTAATTCAATCACGAAATTTGCACGCACATCGATGCTTGCCTAGAAAATTGAACTTTTCTCACAAAAACACTTCCGTAAGAATATTTCCTTCTTACTTTCAAGAATTTACTATGAACTCAGCGATGATTAATATGGATCGGAGGGAGTATGAACATTTATTTTTGTTGTCTAATGTTTTTTTAATAAAAAAATTAAAGGTAGTATATTAAATAGCACAAACCTTTAAAAATAGCCTTACAAAAATTAGAAATATATCCAAATCCTTCGAGTGTCGGAGGTCTTCTTCCTCCTGCATCCATCGACGGCACGCCGTGAATAAAGCTCGTTATCTCCTCCGCGCCTCCTTCTCAGTAAAGTAAACTTATGGTGTGTTTGGTTCAGGAACGAAGTAGAATGTAAGGTCATGGTTCCATTCCACTGAAACAGATTGGTTTCGTTCCGGTGTTTGATGAAGGGAATTAGGAGGAACGGAATGGTTCCATCTCAGCGTTTGGTTGGGATAGCATGAAATGTTTTTTTTTTCACATAATGCATTTGGTTTATCTCAAATCTTTGCATAGAAATGGTGGGATTTTCACATACGTATATACATGGTCACAATTATATCTCTTTACATCTTATCAATTTCTGTCAAGTACATGTAAAAAATTGGTCAAAAGACAAAATTGACTCAATCAGGGAGGAAAAGCACTGACAAATATGCACACATTTTTAGCATCAAATTATTCAAATTTTCAGCGGCCATTTCATTTGTATTTGCACTTCTGCAGCACCATCAATTGATATAATCTCAAAAGGATCTACGGTTCATACAGGAAAAAAATTCTTACTGTTTTCTATTCACATGAAGAGTTTGCCATGTTGAGTTTGGCATGAACGCATCCGGCAGAAATCTACAGGCATGAACAAAAAAAATCTCACTGCAAGCATCAGGAACATGTTGAGTTTGGCATGAACGCATCTTAGTTAATTTTGCGTTCAGTTCAAGCAAAGATACTGAACGCATCCATCAATACTGAACGCCGTCTGCTCTTTTCCTCTCTGGCCGCTGCCGCTGCCCAGGCAAGCTGATGCTGCCGCCGCTCAGGTGTGGCTGCCGTTGGTTGGCTTCCTCAGGGCATCGAGAGTGTGCTTTGCTTTCACCGGATCTACCTTCTCCTCCTGAGGTGGATGTTTCTTTGCTTTCACTCCTTCAAAGAACTCCTTCACGTGGGTCCGCACGATCGTATCGGTTTCCTCCTCGGTCCTCTCGTACGGTAACTTCTCTAGAGGCTTGAGAGATGGACCGTATCTGTATTGCCTCCCGCCTCTGGTTGTGCTGCTAGACGCCGGAGCAGACAGAGAGGCTGCGGCGTCTGTCTTCTTTCGTGCTTGCTTACGAGGCGGAGGAGAAGGACTACGACACGCCGGAGCAGCCGGGGCGGCGGCGGGTCTCTTCCGCCCTTGCTGGCGAGGCGGAGAAGGAGGATGCTGCTGGCTGCTCGGGAGCGCCGGCGCAGGCGGAGAAGGAGGCAGAGTGCCGCCACGCGTGCCCTGATCGTCACTTGCCGGAGGAGGAGGCGGTGGAGGAGGCGGAGTGCCCTGACTCACCGGAGGAGGAGGAGGAGGTGGAGGCGTCCAGTTCGGAAGGTTGATGAGCTCCTTCCCCATAGGCATGGAGTCTTCAGAGCAGAACCCAGCCTAGTCTCCCCTTCACCGGTAGGGTGGTCAAGCAGGAGGTCCTCAAATCCCTCCGTTATTTCATCCACCATCACCTTAGCATATCCTTCTGGAATCGGCTGGCAGTGATAAGTTGTGTCGGGTCCACTAGGATAAACAGAGCCAACAGCCGCCTTGACCTTCAAATTCATCCATCGCGCCATAATGTGGCAATTTTGAGACTCTGTGATAGCATCCACGGGATAGCTGGCAGGAGCCGTCAAGACATGCTCAGGCTGAAGCAGCTCGGTGGAAGCCACGCTGCTTCTCCGCTGAGATGGCGGGGTAGCTTCGGGGGAAGCTTCGGCAGGTCGTTTGTTGCGATCTGCTGCTTCTCGTTCCTCTTCTCGTTCTCTAGCCCCATTACCCTTTCGTGCAGCGCCAGCAGTTGGCCATGTTCCAGTTTCTTCCTCCTCTCGTGGGTTTTGTAATCCCCTGCGTCTGAAAAACCAACCTTCCACGGAATGGAGCCTGGCGTGCCTCGTGTCCGTCCAGGGTGCTCAGGATTTCCGAGGGCCATTGTGAGCTCGTCCTTCTCCCTGTCTGGAATGAATGTCCCTCGCTGCGCTGCATCAATATAATGCCGAAGGTGCTTGACTGGTATTTTCAGTTGCTCGTCCGTCCAATGGAACTTCCCTGATACAGGGTCCAAGGTTCCGCCAGCCCCGAAGAACCAAGTCCGGCAACGGTCTGGCCAGTACATTGTCTCTGGTTTGATCCCTTTTTCAAGCAGATCATTCTCAGTCTTGGACCACTTAGGCCGGGCTTTGAGGTAGCCACCTGACCCCGTGCGATGGTGAAGCTTCTTCTTCGCAGCATTTAGCTTGTTTGTCGCCGACATTTTCTTACTCTTTTCTGATGTCTTGTGGGCCACAAATGCGGGCCAGTGATCTTTGATCTTCTCATATTTGCCGATGAATTCTGGTGTCTTTTCTTTGTCGACAAACTTGTTCAGCTCTTTCCTCCACCTCCTGAATAGGGTTGTCATCTTCTTAAGAGCACAAGACTTGATTAATTGCTCTTTAACTGGCTTCTCAGGATCCTCCTCTGGCGGTAGGGTGAAATTTGCCTTCAGCTGAGTCCAAATATTTTCTTTCTGCATATCATTAATATAAGACACCTCAGGGTCTTCCTCCTTAGGCTTATACCATTGTTGGATGCTGATCGGTATCTTGTCCCTAACAAGAAGCCCACACTGAGCAGAAAATGGACGCTTTGTCCGGATAGGTTCAATCGGTTCGCCGTCGGGCGCGATTTCTATGATCTCAAGCTTTTCATCCGAGCTCAACTTTTTCTTCGGGCCTCGTCTCCTTACCGAAGTTGTGCTCGATCCGGAGCATACAATAGAAGCAGTACAGTTGTCGACACAGATTTCTCCTCGAAAATTGCTGAAACCCTTCAACTGGATCCAGAGCCAAAATCTATGAAAGAGTGCCTCAAGCGCTCAGATTGGCCTAAATGGAAGGAAGCGATTGAGGCAGAATTACACTCGCTTAAAGAAAGAGAGGTATTTTCTAAAATAATGCCTACTCCTCATAAAGTGCGAGACGGGCGGGTGCGGGACGTCGCTGCAGTGCACGTCGGCGTCGGGGGCCGCTCCGACGA